TCGCGGTTGGGCATTTTTCTTTGGTCAACATGTAGAAAACAGAATGGTGAACCCAACGGTGAAAAAATTGCACAAAATGGGAAACAAGAAGGCGTTCATCGAAGGTGGTTGTGGGTTTTGCTCGTGGCGGCACTGCCGGATTTTGCCCGCAGTTTCTGACTCATTCACCGTTCTTTTTGCTCTAATTTGGTCATGGGGTGCTTGGAATCAAATTCAGAGCGAATAAGAGAATTTTTACTTTTTTTGGCGGTCAAAGGTGGCTCCGATGCGACAGGGGGTGGTAGTCGACTCCTTTCTCCGGCGACTGGTTCTTCTTATCCGGTAGAAGGCTGACGGCTAGAGTTTGAGTTCGATGTGATGTGAGATATTTATACCCGTCTCCCTTAAATTTGTACCGTTCATCGCGTTTGATCTCGACCGTTCGATCACTTTTAAAGAGAAAATAAATCTGGACCGTTCATCGCGATTTGATCTCGACTGTACAATCGCATTTAAAGAGGGAACGAATTTGTATCATTCATCGCACTTAATCGCGACCGTTCAATCGCGCCTGATGAGAGAACAGATCCGGACCGTCCACGCGCACGGGAACGCATCCAGGTCATCCGATCGCGAACATGCGGGTTGCCAGTGTGGCCTCCTGCGTGGCATCGGCTCAGCGTGCCTTGCCACGCGACATGCTCCAGTTTCTCAAGGTTGCTGACTGGGGGGTCCTACGTGGCACAATTTTCTTTAATTGCATTTTAACTATTAGTTTCTGATTTTTCTTTCAAAAATACCATTCGAACCCAAATGTTCACCCATTTTTTCCAAAATTATTTTTAATTTCATCATCAACCTATTTTTTTTCCTAATTTAACATTAAATAAAAATTTTATTAATTTTAAAATTATATTTTTATATATTTTTAAAATTTTAAAATTAATCTCGGATCAAATTCCAGGTCCGGGTATTATAATTATCTGCCAAAAGATTTGTACATATGTTTTCTTATTTATGAACATGTTAAATACATATTTTGCAATCTCGATGAAATATTTCAATAATTTAAAATTTAGTAGGCGTTTTAAGAATAACATTGTCGATCAATTGAAACAAGAGAGTATTCAAAATAGGAAATCAACGTCAACCATAAGCTTTTTAATAATTTCTTCCAAGTAATCTTCAGACCATCAAAGACATTCCGGACCTCTATTTTTGTAGAACTTTTTTTTTTTTTGGTAGAAGTGTAAATTAAGCTCACAGCTCATTATTCATAATTATCTTAGATAACTCGTCCATACTTGCATGTTGAATATCATATTTTATTGGTTCATCCGCATTGATTTTGAAGTAATGCACCTGTGAAATTCTTCGACCAACTGACGGATAACAAATGACTTCAATTGAATTTTTTGTGTTCACATTGAACTTAATTTATGCGTCCTAAAATTTGTTGACGAGTTATGATTATGTCGATGATGATTAAGATTACCTCAGAGTCGAGCTTGCCATGCACGAACTCATTTATTTGATCATGTTCTTTCAAAATTAACCTTTTTGCATTAATTTTTTTCTTCTTAAAAAAACAAACTTGGTCTTCCTTACTGTATTAAAGGGTTATTCAATCTTCTATTTTGTCAATTAAATATTTAAATAGATGCCTACGTAAATATATAAATAAAATTGGATCTTTGTTTCTTTCCAAAAAACGAATAGCAAATTTATTAGATAAAAAATTTTGATTGTGACAAAAAAAAGCAACTTCCATATCGTTGGCCTTCCACAAGGGGAGTTGGTTTAATTAACGTTGGCATTAAATCTATATTTCCCAACACATCACTCCCCCAAAATCAAACTAATATTAATTAATAACTTAATCATGTCTTGTAAACTAATTAGTTTACGCAGAAAGTCATAAACTACACTAAATTATATACTTGGAATTATTATAGATCACCATTAATTTGGTTACTAAAAAGAAGCAATGAGAAACGCAACAGACCCGACCCGAACTGGTAATTAATATTATAAAAAAAAAAAAAAAAAAACTGATTAAGATAATATGGAAATAAATTAATAACATTAAAGACAAAGAAGTTAAACTGGGTTGACCAGGACGAGTTGAAAACAGGGTTTGGTAGTTAAAACGTACACACAATGAAAGCTAATCATACGCCATTGATCGGCCACGTCAGCCATACTTTATAGTCATCGGCATCAAATTTCTAACTGGAGATTAAATTGGGAAACAAAACAGACATCCATGATGAAAAACCTCGATGTATTTTCATTAATTACGTTGATAATTGAAAAATTATATAAAAAAAGTCAGAAGATTGAATTATTAATGTGTAATTTAATACTAATAATGAATTAGAACAGATAATAATAATAATAATAATATAAAAGAATGAGGTGTGGATGGAGAAGGGTGACGGAAGATGTGGTTTTGATTTGCTCTCTGGATCTGAGTATTTCCATTTATTTATTTATTTGTTTTGAAAAACAATAACAAAAACAGCTTCAACAAATCGAGAAAACAACATCATCAATAATAGCTTATTACCCCCATCTTCTCTCTCTCTCTCTCTCTCTCTCTCTCTGGTCTCAAATAAGCTTTTTTCTCGAACCTCCCGAATCCTTTTTTTTTTTTTTTTTTTTTTTTTTTTTTACGCCTCTTCTTTCTTTTTTCTCTATGCCTTGCGTCCTGGATCTTTCTTTTTCCTCCTCGTATCTCTTTCGCTTGTTTATAAAGCTTCCATTTTCAACATATTCCCTTTGACAACATAAATTATATAATCACTAATCTTTTTCTTAATTATTATCTGATCTGCCTCTATTATTGCGCTCTTTGCTTGATTACTCTGTTGCCGTACCTTGATTGTGGATCACGAACAACTTCTCCCTCTACTTTGCCTTTCAATTCTAGCATAGCTGGAGCTCGAATAATCAGGACAGGTCAAACCAGTGTTTTCTACGATTTCGATTTTTTTTAATTTTTTTTTTTATATTTCTTGAGAGGTGCGGCTTTTTTTATTTATTTATTTTTTTATTTTTTTGTGTATTGGGAGAGAAGGAGATATAGAAATATAGAATATGCTGTATTTGAAGCAGCCTAGCTCTGTTTTATGCAAGGGTGTGGTTGTCTTTATTGTTTCGGAGGATTAATTTGGTCATTTCCTTTTACGATTACTACTTATTTTCTCAGAGAAGAAATTTTGGATTTCGTTTTGGAAATTTAAAAAAAAAAGAAAGGGTGCATGCTCTTGTGATAAATTCCCTGGGCCTGGGGCTCGGGGGAAGATCGGGAAGTGGAACTAGAGACAGCAGAGAGTAGTAGTGGTTACTGATGGCATCATCGGAGAATGAGAGCTCCTCCCAATCTTCACCATCCTCTTCCTGTATGCAGAAATTCAAGCTCTACGAAACTCGATCGGTAAACACCTCTCTGGTCTTTTGTCTCTTATTTTTTTTTCTCAAAAGAGAAAGATCAATGATCTTCTTTTGATCTCTTCATTTTGGTTATACTTCATAACACTGTCTTTGTTTAGCCCATTGTTTTCCTTCATAATTTTTCGTTCGTGTATGGTAACATTTAGATCAGTAGAAGAAATTATATGTATTTGAGATTTTTGGCCAAACTTCATTTCTGCACCTGTCTTGATCAACATTTCATTGATTTGTATGTCCCGTGTTAAATTTCATTATCTTAATACTGTTTAGAACTTTAGCATTATTTGAAAAAAAAAAGAAGTTCAGAAATTTAGCTATTTTAAATTGAGCGGCCAAATGCTGCTCCATTCCCCTTACATTGATAGGCCAAGTTTTGTATATCACTCTTCTTTTTCATATTGTAAAGGGAAAATTGTAGCAAACTCAAATTATAAAAATTGAATTGTGTTACAAAGCTGTTTTATATGTCAATTAACTTGCTTTTGATGTTGTGTATAGCAGAATTTTTACATGATAGGGAGGGACAAGAGCAGGACGAATTGGAGGGTGCTAAAGATTGACCGGTTGGATCCTTCTGAATTAAATATTAGTGAGGATTCTACCATATACACAGCAATTGAATGCTCTGACCTGTTGAGACGGATACATGAAGGAAACAAAGCCACTGGTGGACTGAAATTCGTCACAACTTGTTATGGAATTGTTGGTACGTGCAACTAAGTTTCTGTTATCTTAACTTATAGAATTAGTACAGCATCACAGAATGACATCTTCTTTTGCTGGTTTTTAGGGTTCATTAAATTTTTGGGACCTTATTACATGCTGCTTATTACGAAAAGAAGGCAGATTGGTTCAATTTGTGGCCACAATGTATATGCAGTCTCAAAGAGTGAGATGATTCCGCTGCCAAATCCTAGTGTCCAGTTCAATATCGCTAACTCTAGGAATGAGAACAGGTCTTATTCTATTATCTGTGTAAATTATTTTTACCTGTTATTAAGAAAACTGGAAACATTATTCAAGGAGACTCTTTGTTCTTGTTGCATCTTCTGGAGATTGTTATGTGATTCCATGTTTGCGAAAGCTTTTTAAGGATTAGTAGTTTGACTGTACGAAAGTTGTGTCGGTGTTAGATCAATGAAAACTTTACCTATAGTAAGGTGGCGATAATAAGATTCTCTAATTTAGTGGAGCCACTAAATGTCTTTTGATAGAAGAATTTTTTTTTTTTTGGGAGAAGATATGTCTAAAATTCTTGATTCGATTTTTTTTCTCCCCCTATTAGTGGTGTTCCTCTTCCTTCTTTTTTAACTCCTTCCAAAAGTTTTTTGCCTATTGGTGTGAGGTTGCAGTCCTTAATTTCATATCCTGTGATTCATTGATGGTGTAGATACAAGAAGCTCCTATGCACGGTGGATCTCACAAAGGACTTCTATTTCAGCTACTCTTACCATGTCATGCGTAGTCTTCAAAAGAACTTGTGTAATAATGTGGCAGACCACGTCCTATATGAAACAATGTTTGTTTGGAATGAGTTCTTGACACGGGGTATCAGAAATCATCTCCAGAATACTCTATGGACGGTTGCTTTGGTGTATGGTTTTTTTAAACAGGTGAGGGATTGGTGCTTTCTGATTTAACAGGACTAATTTTCTGTTTTATGTTCAGTCAGTGGCTCTAGTTTCATATATAATAGATCCTTTCCTAGTTCTTTTTCTGCATATGTCCCAATCTTTTATCGATTATGGAGTGGGTATGGCTTTTTAGATAAATACTAATTTAGGTGTTATCAGTTCAGTTTCAGATGTTTGTTGATCTTTTATTCGAATATGCTGGCTTCTTTCCTCCTGTATAGCTTTCATCGCCATCTAAATGTTGTTTCTTCCTCAGTAAACTTCTTGATGATTCACTGATGTCTTTATTCGATATGAATGTAGGCCACACTTTCAGTTTCTGGACGGGAATTTAAACTTACTCTCATTGCTAGGCGTTCACGTCATTACGCTGGCACGAGGTAGGAAAGCACAGAGCCACTAGTTTCATTCCTAACATGGTAACAAATACATGGTTGCAAATGATTAAATTTTCTTTTTTTTTTGGTTTCCTGTTCATAGTTTTGTTAACAAAACAAAGAAAAAAACTAAAAATGTTTATATGTGAACTAAGCGCAGTTAAATTGCATGATCTAAGCTAGTGGTTGATTTAGGTGTCAGAAATGCAACCAGCGGAATGATTCTCGAGTATTTATTGCAAACATCCATTTCTTTGTTTATTCAAATAGGAATCACATCCTATATTCATAGTTTAGCTCAGTTCTTGTGTGCCTTAACTATTTGCATTTCTCTTGTGCCTAGATACTTGAAGCGAGGTGTGAATGAGAGAGGAAGAGTAGCTAATGATGTTGAGACAGAGCAAATTGTCTTCGAGAATGTTAGTGAAGGATGTCCAATGCAAATAAGTTCTGTAGTACAAAATCGGGGCTCCATTCCACTTTTTTGGTCACAGGAAACATCGAGATTGAATCTTAAACCAGATATTGTTTGTATGTGCTTCAGTCTATCTTCTAAAGGAAAAAAAAATGCTTCAGTCTAATACATAAATTGTTTCTTTTTCTCTTTGCTTCCTTTTCTTTTTCTGTTTCATTTAATGGTTTCATATTAATCCAGTGTCCAAGAGGGACCAGAATTATAAAGCCACCAGACTTCACTTTGAAAACCTTGTCAAGAGATATGGAAATCCCATAATTATTCTGAATTTGATTAAGGTAAGTTGTTTAACCTTCTATTTTTGGTTCGTTTATCAAGATCATCATAATTTTTTCCCTTTTGCGTCTCTTTTCTTTTTCTGTCAATTGCCAGATGTCATAGAAATATGTTACACTCGATGATCTACAATATTTTTATAACAGACAGAAAAAAGAAAAAGGAGTGTCCCTGAGGAGCTTTTATGATTTGATAAAATGTCTTATATGATTTTGAATGAGGATTTTCCTTCTATTATATGGCCTTTTTTTTTTTTTTTGAAATATCAAGCATTATATGGCCTTTTTATCTCGACAGACTCAAGAGAGGAAGCCCCGAGAGTCAATTCTTCGAGCAGAGTTTGCTAATGCTATTGATTTGATCAATAAAGATTTATCAGATGAAGACCGTCTGAGGTTCCTTCATTGGGACTTGCACAAACATTCTCGGAGGTAGATGTCTATGAACACTTTACTCTGCCACTCTTCTTTTCAGTATCATTCTCATTTTGAAAACTTTTATCTTTTTGGAAAAAAATAATCTTTTGTCCTTTGCCAGCAAAGCGACAGATGCTTTACTCCTTCTTGGAAAAGTGGCTGCATATGCGTTGACGTTAACAGGTTTCTTTTATTGTCGGGTAACACCAGCCTTGAAAGTTGAGGGTTCCACATATCAACCTTCTCCTGAGTGAGTATTTTACCCCCTTCTATTTATTTTTTATTGTTTCTATGATTGCATTTCGAAATCAAATTTTTTTAACCTCGTATACCACGTGACTGTACGCCGTAAATCAAGGAATACAATCTTTTGGTCCTCTCTAAGTTCCTTGAAGTGTACTCGTGTAATTTAGAGTGTTAGTCATGTCAATCACAAAAAAATTTGGTTTTTTTCGAATAACTAATCCTTTTACTAGAATATTATGATTTCAGAATTTTGTTGTTCCATTCTTGTTTATCAGGTATCTTTCAAAAAATTCTTGTTTATCAGTTAATCAGTTAAAGAGGAATTTCTAATAAATGGAGTCACGATGGTTTTGTTTTCTTCTTTTTGGGTCAATTGAAACTTCCAAGTCCAGATCAAAGTTTCTTTAGGTTGTATTAACTTTTGAATATGAGACATCTTTCTTGGTTTCTCTCTCTCTCTCTCTTCCTCTCCCTAACCCCTGTTCAGCAAAGAAAATAATGTAAGGACCTTTCCGCAATGCTTATGTTGGTAATTTGCATCCCTTGGTATGTCCTTGTGCTTTAGTAATCACTATGTTCTTGGAGAACTCGTATTTTAGTTTCATATACTGATAGTATGGTATAATGACGGGAAGCATATTCTGTAAAAATAATGCAGAAGTCTTGATAGTGGCAACTCCTCTTCCCAGAATCATTGTGACAATGACAACAAGGATGCTTATGATAATAATTTACACGTTGACGACGACAACTCC